TAGCATTGGTATATATGGAGAATATATTGTCAAATGACGCTTGCCATTTGTAACAAGGCGTATTAAATCCAGTTTTGTTCATTCGGCTCGCGTTATCACGACAAACATGTCTACTACCACAAGGAAGACGGAGAAATATGGAGTGAAAAAAAACAACCCTTCACATTTATACATAATTTTAGTGTCCCATTAATTTGAAGTTTTATCTCGTTATCGCATGGTTTGGAACTTTTCCTTTGTTCTTACTAACCCATTATACTCAGTACACTTTTAATGAGAATTTGAAAACAAAACAAAAAACAACGTTGCAACGCTTTTCAATTTTTTTGTCATTTTTCACATTTAGAAGAATCATTATGGGAAAAAAACTGAGTAAGCGAATGATCTGAAATTTTGCGCACACGTTTGTCGTCTATATATGCATCAAATGAAATAATAATCTAAAAAGCTATTGTTGCCAGTTCCGTCATGTCAAAAACCTCAGTGCAGTCCCTTTAATAAAAGAGGTATGTAAGATGGGTTTATTTTCTAGCACCTCTGTTAGGTAGATTGTGATCTACACTGTAAAGTATCAGATATTATATAGTAGATATGTTTTTAAGAGAGCATGTTCAAATATGAGTTCTTATGATCCTATGTTCTACATGCTATCACTTATTATTTCAATCTCGCTAATTTAAGAAATAGGCATCCTGATACAAGTCTTTTCTACTTGCGTTCGTTAGTTTATTCGTTCTTTCGCTCATTTGTTCTTTCATTTTCTGATTTGACAAAAAAAAACAAAGAATACGTTACATGATTTGACAAAACAAAGAATACATTCTAGATATGGCCCCTTTAAGGACAGAATTGTATTTTTACGCCACAGATAATTGATTCCAGCAATATTCTTGATTTGTACTAGTCCTCGTTATGTCAGAAAAGTGAAGAACTTTAGGACAATCTTTTATTTGAAAGGTTATCAAAGATGCAAGACTTCAAATGCATCGTCTGGGTGACTTCCCTTCTCCCAAGTGACAATTCACTCCAGAAACTCACGGGATAATGATTGGTTATTAAACACTTAAACAACCCCTAGCGGTCCCTTGGATGGAGTTAAGAACGGGTACGGACGAAATAGAAAAAATATCATCAAAAACCTTTAGCACTGAACTGGACCTTCAAGAAGATAGCATTGGTATATATGGAGAATATATTGTCAAATGACGCTTGCCATTTGTAACAAGGCGTATTAAATCCAGTTTTGTTCATTCGGCTCGCGTTATCACGACAAACATGTCTACTACCACAAGGAAGACGGAGAAATATGGAGTGAAAACTCAACCCTTCACATTTATACATAATTTTAGTGTCCCTTTATTATATCATTAAAGTATCAATAGTTTATAATTCCATAAGACATTTTGAAAGAATGTTTAAATTCGCAAAGTTTTATAAATGGATCTTCAGCATATATGTCACAGGGTGAGAGACCGGGACTCGAACCCGGGACCCTCGGAATACCGTACCGAGGCTCTACCGACTGAGCTATCCGACCCCTTTTACATCTTCTCTCCTAAATATTGAACAGTTTTGAACCGTGACATACTCCCCTGCTATATTGAAATTCATCCTTGAAATTCACTGAGGTACAGAGTAATGTAAATTAAACTCTGAACTATATCTAGTCACGGTCCCCCGTTGGGCGCCAAATGTCACAGGGTGAGAAAAATGTGCAGCCTAACTGGGACTCGAACCCGAGACCTTCGGAATACCGTTCCGCGGCTCTACCGACTGAGCTATCCGGCCGCTTACACATCTTCTCCCCTAAATAGTGAACAGTTTTGAACCGTGACATATATATTATCTTTAAATGATCTTTGAATATCTGCTCAAAACGAACTAGCCTTTCGTAAAAACATACGATACTAATAAAGTCTGAAAATAATGTCATAAAATAAATATTTGTAAAATGGGTTCTTATTTCTATACGATAATTTAACTGTTTAAGAAATAATGTTAATAATGAGAAATAATGTAAACATGACTTTTTCCTGTTCACTTCTAGGTAAATTATGATCTACATGTAATATACATTGATTGATCCACGACAGCCAGTGTTTGATTCTTTCTTATACATGTATCATATTTTATAGAAGTCATGTTTCGGAAAGAGGTCTGAAAGCATTAAAACATAAAATTTAAAATCAGCTGAGGCGCTTTAAACAGGAAGATATGCAAGAGATATTTGACAAATATATTTTAAAGTATATACTGTAAAGATGCGTTTGTTTCCTAGCGCCATATGTTAGGTAGATTGTGATCTACACTGTAAGGTATCAGATATTATATTGAGTAGATATGGGTTTTTTTAAGAGAGCATGTACAAATATGAGTTATTATGATCCTATATGTTTTACATGCCACCACTTTATATCATTCAATCTTGCTAATTTAAGAAATAGGCATCCTGATACAAGTCTTTCGACCTTTTCTTTTGTTCATGCGTTCGTTAGTTTTTTCGTTCATTTGCTCTTTTTTTTCACTCGTGTTTTTTTGTTCATTGAAGAGAAATGGTCATAAATGGAAGGTGTGCATTATCATAAATAATTATTTTGATAGTATCTACTATCTAGTACCATATGTGACAACTTAGCTCAAAGGAATATTAAATAAATGTTTTTGAAGTGTAAGATACATGGTCCTATATTACATATATGTACTTTTTTAGACAAAAGAGTTTTATATATATTTATATTATACAATATCGTATGTATAAAAGTAATGTATCGCTCACGTTTGTAACGAATAAACGACTCATAACGTTATTTAATATATGTTACATCGGACTAGAATTTGAGAATTTCTTGTAAACTGTTTATTATTGAATATGATGTTACATTGGTCGATTTTATTCCAAAATTCGTTATTGCATTATATAGAGTGTACACTCAAAGTATATCACACGAATTTTACTATGTTAAATGATTATGATGTGTATCACACACTATCATTACTTATTTTGAAAACTCACTGTTGAAGATAAAATACTTGATTGATTCATAAATTGATTTTATCATCATAATAATGACTATTTCAAAGTATATATGTCTCTGTTGTATTAACTTGTCAATGTATTATTTGAATCTCGTGCCCTTTTGTTAGATTTCTATAGTGCTTTACATAATTATAAACCCATGAAAGAAATACATTTTACCACAATTTCCCGTGAAATTTCTTTTTACTTATTTCACATGAAATAATAATAATCGATTAGATCAGACGCTTATTTATTAGAAAGCATAAAACCTCTAACCCATCAATAAGCTATAATTAAAAGCCTTTACGTGTTGATCAAAATCGCTGAAACAAGGTAACTTTAGAATCGCTGAAACAAGATAACTTTAGAGTAATGTGAAACACCTGTAACTAATGGCTGAAAGTTCGCCCCCGAGTATAAATCAGATTGCCGAGTGTTTTAATGTTCTTTTTCTTTTGTATCATAAGCAAAATTAAATACACATTACCTGTTGTAACAATATGAAACCCCAGAAAAAGTAACGAATGCACCAGCTTCAGAATGTGGCATATCCATCGTTATTCCTTTCTCTGTCGTCCCAGTAAAAATGAGCCAATCAATGGACATGCTCTGGAGTGCAAGTAACTTATACATGCACTCCAGTTTGCATGTATGTGTATACAATTTATTCAACAGGAAGGTTCCCAAACTATGATGCAATTTTTGTTCTTTCAGTGCATTGTTAGAAATGATAATTACATATAATGTGAAGCTGATCTGAATTATTTAACCAACCTGCTTATGCGTACATGTACAATTTCATGTGTAGGTTCATAGTACATGTAATTGTGTATGGAAAAGCAAAAATTTACGTTCAACTTCATCTCTCCCAAAACAACATTGACTATAAATTCACATACTCTAAAATGTGACCCAGGATATACAACATGTTCACTTTATGATCTTTTTTGGATCCAATCTTATCAATTTAGCCTCGTTTTCATTTTTCGAGTCTAAGACACATACAATAAGTATAGTACTAGACGTAACAAAGTTTTGACAAGATGTCTAGATATTGGTGGTGTGAATTAGAGAGGTCATTATACATTGTTGAACCCAATACTGATTTTTTACTTGACTAGTTTACAGCTGTAAAATCCGTATACGATTCAGCTAGCACCTCGATATTATTAAGGGACAAAAATACACACTAAATATAAAGCATCATCTTTAATCTATTTTGCAGTTAGCAGTCAGCCAATTTGATCATTATAAATGTGATAACAAATTTCAAAACAGAAATTCTGCGCACTGCGGATGCCCTGCATATTGCTTATGCCTGATGAATAACCAAAGCAAATTGTAAATGAGACTACATTCTATTAATATACATATATCTGTTAGAGTATTGAAACAGTAGCAGGAATCAATGATTAAGTAGTTAAAAATCACAAAAACCAATTATACATCATAGTAATTGGAACTAAAATAGTATCTGTACATCTCGATAAATATGATTCAATTAGAGGAGAATACAGTATGTCCACGAACCACTAGTCAATGGTATACTGTCAGGAATAATACGGGGCCTGAGGTTATGTATCGCTGTGACAGAAACATATAAATCTCGGGGGAAACATATTTTTGTTGATAGTGAATAGTTATGACCACTGTAAACTAGCGTTGGTTTCTGGTCACTTGTGTTTATATATCGCATTTGAGTGAATCGAATAGTGAAAATTCAAATCTACAAGGAATAAAAAATGATTCGTTGAAGTTGTATTAATTATTAAATATTCATAAAGTATGTTTCTATAAGTTATTTTATTTAATTTTTATTTAATAGCATAGTCATTATATGACGGTAGCCGATTTGAAGAAGGCCCTATCACTATTGGTAGAGAAACAATTTATTATGTTAACTTGGACTGATGCTCGCACCATCTTGTTATTATCATATATTAGCTTTGATACTGACAACAATTTCATACTGATTTGATATATAACGGTTACTCTGTAACATATTTACATTGATGTTTAACGTTGAATAATTAACATGATATATTCCAAAGGAAATAAAGAAAATTACGTGTACGTTTATAAAAATTAAATCCTAAAAAAGGTATGGACTATTATTTTCTTTTAGAAGCGTTATGTCAATAAAATATGTATTAATGAATTCTTATTCTTTTCATTAAATCTGTAATTTTTGTAACAAAGTTTTTTTGTACAAAATCATTTAATAATCAAGATTTGTGTTACTCCTGGTTAAACATTAGAGATTTTAAAAACACATTAGAAATCTTGCGATTTTTTAATCATTGCATAGTCTTCAAGCTAAAGCATTGATTTATTTGCATTGATATTCACATTAACTATATTGACGTTAATTTTAGTTCTTGTATGTCACTTAATATGTTAACATCTTTTTCCACTTTTACAAACATGTTATTTATGCAAACTGTGTTTTACTGTTTGATAACTCACTTGACAATTTTGTGTTATATGAATATATAACATTTGTGTTATATGAATATATAAAAATTGTGTTATATTAATATAAAGAATTAATGACAAAAACTGTACTGATACGTCAATTAATTTTCTGTGCCTTTATCAGTACGAGGCTCAGAAAGGTACAAAATATGTAAACTTTCAGATGTAGTTTCGCATAGAGCCGTGCCAACATTTCGCGCTATTGATGCTGAAATTCCTAGCAATCTGATTTCAAAGTATGGAAATCGACTACAAAAATTTAATAGATTTATGGTTCAAGGACATTGTTTATAAATTAAAAATAAGTTTAGAGTGATGATTTATGAAAAAAAGAAATAAATGTAAAAAATAATCGGCTTTCTAGCTTTCAAATGTTTATTGAAAGAGGAAGTTTTTAGATAACAGTGCGTTTAAAACTAATTCTTATTGGATTAAGCATAACGAAGACTGTGTCACGATTTTAACATGCCAACACGTTAGTTCAAAATCCAAGGTCATTTACACTTATGTCTGTTCCCATGATAGTTAAACTATTTGAAAATTTTCAAATTTGGACAAGCCGCATAGTAATTATTATTTAAAATAAGAAATGACCTATATTTAGAATATGTGCTGGCATTTTTGATGTTCCAAATAGCTAACTTATGCGTCTGTTAGAATAAACTTTTACATTTAAGTTGAAAATTAATTGTTATTAGATTTGGTAAATAAAATGGCTTTATCCATTAAGAACCGACTAAGTAAAGCCGTAAAAGCTATAAAGCTCGTACGGACGTTATGTTTTCTGACTCATTACCCTTAAGTACGCAATGTGTGTGGGGGAGGGTGCCTCTGTTTCTTTGTTGTTGTTTTGTTTGTTTGTTTATTTGTTGGTTGTTTTATTTTTTTTATTATTTTTTTTGGAAGGGGTGGGGTTCCGACCAGTGTGTTTTCCACAGCATCAGTTCAATATTAAATGTTGAAGGTATAAGTAAAGCTATATTATTTAACATACAAAGCGATCTGAAATTATCTAGGTTTACAGTTTAGAGGTAGATTTAAATGTTAATTTCTGCCACAACCTGTGGTTAATAAATTAATCTCATAATGGGATGACAATGATCTTCTTTCTTATGTTTTCTGACACTTAAGTGTACATATGAGCCGCGTCATGACAAAACCAACATAATGGGTTTGCGACCAGCATGGATCCAGACCAGCCTGCGCATCCGCGCAGTCTGATCAGGATCCATGCTGTTCGCTATCAGTTTCTCTACTTGTTATAGGGTTTGTAAGCGAACAGCATGGATCCTGATCATGTTGGTTTTGTCGTGACGCGGCTCATATTATTCATATTTCTAATTATAACTTTTCAAACCGATATATATAAAGTCTTAAAATGCATTGAAGGAGTATGATTTGTGAATTAATTATGTCATTATTCTGTTGTAGGTTTCTTATCTTTGAAACAATGGCGAGTGAAAGTCTTCTGATGCTTTCAGAACTAAATAATCTAACGGCAGACGACAACCAATCCCTATTCAACGACAGTGCCTCGACTGGTGGCAACAGCACAGTAAACACCGGTGTTCCTGTATCGTGGGTTTATTGGCTTCCGGGGCCTTTAATTTGTTCGTTTGGGATCATCTGCAATGTGTTCAATTTATGTGTACTTTCACAAAAAAGACTCAGCGACTCTCCCTACACATATCTAACAGCTCTTGCTATATCTGATCTTATACTTCTTACAGCTTCCTTTCTCCAGCTCGTGACGTCACATTCAACTAGAACGTATTTGAAATCATTTTATGACGTTTACATTTTCTTTTCGTTTGGAAATATTTTCTTTAATGCAAGCGTTTGGCTTGTTGTCGCCTTAACTATTGAAAGAGTCTGTTTTGTCACACATCCTTTGACATTTCACCCATCTAAAAAGGTTGCAAAAATTTGCTGCGTGTCAGTGTTTATATTTTGTGCGTTGATCAACATTCCAAGGTTCTTCTGCTACGGCCTTATTGAGTATAAAGGTCACTTTTATCCAAATGGTACACCTTTCAGAGAGTCCAAGCTGTTTTACCGGATAAGCTGGGTACATGCGCTGGTTATTACATTTATTCCTATTTTAATTTTACTCGTTTCTAACTTCGTTCTTATCTTTGCAATGCGGAAAGCGGCAAAGGAACGTGCTGCATTGCATAGCAACAGAGACGCAGAGATCCGGAAGGACCAAACAAGACTTACACGAACACTTATCGCTGTCGTTGTCGTCTTTATTGTGTGTACATTCCTGTCTGCTTTTGTAGAGGATCCGATTTCATATTCATTATTCGGCGGAGATAGAAGCTGGAAGGATTACATCAAGTCTCCAGCCAACCAACTCTTCATTTACATTTCTAATTTACTCGTCTTCCTCAACTCGTCACTTAACTTCGTGTTGTATTGTTCATTCAACCGGAAGTTCCGCCAGGCCGCAGCAACTTTTGTCAGAAAGCTGCACCCATACTGTAGGAACTTAGGAAATGAGATAGTAAGTAAAATGCCAAGCAGAAATACGATTTCTTCGCGTAGCTATTCATTTCACCAAGGAGAAACATCGCAAACAAATTTATAAAATAGAGCGGAGCTACAATTTAGATGAAAAACGGGCACAGGGACAACCAAAGGCAAATATTATATCACGAGAAATATGATTATACGATGTCAAATTATGTCTTAAAGTATGAAAAACAACGAAAAAGTATTTTCATCTTTTGCACATATGTTACCAAAATATCGTTTTATTACGGATCATGCTATTGACAAAGATTTAAGTGTTACTCTCATTCAAATACGGTGAAAGTACATGTCAGATAAACTATATTTTCAAAGAAAAAAATTCATCAAGCTTTTATTCGACAAAAGCAGTTAATATTATTTTAACATATGAATGTATGTGAATTAAATAGGCGTTGATCATTTGCACATATAGCCTACTTATTCAAATAAAAGATTGTGGATGTGCGTTTTTATTGCATATATTATATCGCTGGATACTCTTTCAGTTATACAACGAAGGTAATAGCTTATACTGTCTTGCTTGACCGATATATCTAGCCATAAAAAAAGGTTACATTTTTACTGAAAACCAAATAGTCCAAGAACCATAACAAACTATCCTAATTTTGAAAACGCCAACGTACAATTTCACAATTTATAAACAAAATCAATGAACCATGTATTGCAAGCCTTGAATATTATTTTTTCAACCTATTGCTTTTGGTTATTATACCAAGGAACATATATTTATCTTGTAATTTTTTTATAAAACAGGATAAAGACCCGTTAAACCACTGTAGATCTATTAAAGGTTTGCTTCAGACTGAATCTCCGAACAAACAATACTAAAGCTCTACGTCGAAGCAACTACTGTGTTTTTTCCGTCGGTTCTAGTCACGTCAAGTCCATATTTATTATAATTCATACTAAATCATCTGTCCCTTTAAATGCAATATTCAAAGTGCAAATAGAAGAACATTAAATACAGCTTTTATACGTGGCCGAATGAAAATCTAATGTAAAACTGATCCTAGTAAAGGGTTATGAATAAAACAAATGAGTTATTTTCTCATTTGAAATATAAATACAGCGCCAAGTATCTTCCAGTTTTGACAAGTATAATGCTGGTTAGAGGCTTGACACTAATTCATTTTTCCTGACAGGTTCATGTATACAGGTTTAACTGTATATGGTGTGTCTGTTGTATCATTCCCCCGGGGCTTGATGTATGTCATTAATATACCTTTTGTGAAATTAATGTAACTAGTGTAACAGGTTGTTCAATGCTGTTCTTGTGTTATATGTGTATAATTTTGATTTATAGTATTTAGTCATATTCCGGTGGGCATTTATCTAACAAATGTTCCTTGCTTACGCATCAGTGCTACATTTTCCAAAATGTGGAACAGTTGCGTTGAAACAATAAAACTTTAACAAAGTTTTTTTCTTTCTTCCTCGTCTTCTTGTTTTCATTTTCCTTGACAAGAAACAACACTTTACAGTTACTATAGCCTTACAACAGTTCAATATTTCACTTATTGCAGCACTTTGTAGTTTAAAGAGACTATTATGAACTTTACCTGTATAACTAATTAAGTTACGTTTACGTACGAAAAGAAAATACATTATGAAAGAAATATAATGTAAGACTGGCACAATATAAAACAGTAGGGGCGTAGTTGGATATATAAATCATCTGGTTTTGATATATTAGGTCTGTGATCATCCTAGCTTTTAATGTTTTTCTGTAGGCAGCAAAGTCACCGTCGGCATCATTTGTATGTTAATGTATAATAACAAACATATGCAATGTGTTTGTAATTATGTAAACATTATAAAATGAAAGAAAAAAAACGGTTGTAAAAATACGTTTTAACAAGACTTCTAACAAGATAAAGATAACTAGGTATTTTTTTCATTTAAAAGATACATGTATTAGTATTTACATTTTTAAGTAAGTTTTTATTCAGCAATTTGGCATATAGTAATAATATGACATAAATTATGACCATTTCAAAACTAATGAATGAAACATATACCAATTATTCTCTACATTTCTTAAATAAGTGAAAACATTCAAATCGTGAACGAATGGTACTAATAATTATGTATCTGACATTTGGAATACAATTTCTAATATAAATTTCAATGGTATATAGAGTTTCTAATGATTGTAGATAATTGGCCATGTGCGTGATCACGTGTCTTTATAAGACAACCCATTTTACAGCGCGGTTACAGTTTTACCACTTACATATTTATCGAACTGATTTAAGAGTACATTTCAAAACTTCGCTAACATTTTACTTACAGACGGCCCTGTTACATGTAAGTGTAATTACTTGAAATTCTTACCTTATATAACGCATGTTCTTATCAAGTTGCATAAATCTTGAAATCGAAATCAGTTCTTATCAATTACAATCAATTATAAATACACTTTTTTCGTAAACTTAAAGGTGACAATTATTTAATTTTCTCCATCGTTTGCTTTAAAGTGGATTGGTCTACAATGAGCACATATTTCAAATATTGTTAAAATAAATAGAAATGTATCATTTAGATATTCTTATAAAATATTACTTGAAAAGACAATGTTGATACAGTTTTACGTGATTTAGTATTAACATTTATGTGATGAATAAAAATATTTTATTTTGGAACATATATTATCTGCTATGAAAATATATGTAATATCGAATCATGTATTTCACACATCAATTATATCAACATTTCATGTTTTATTGTTTTGACTGATACTCAATGCTACCAACGTTATAACTTATTGCATTACAGACCTTCCATTTTAGACCAATTTACTTTAAGTAAGTGTTTATTCTATGCCGAAACACTTATGAAAACATTGTCATTTTATATGAGATTTCCGACCAAGCGACCACATACATGCGTCCAGGACATATCGCAAGGAAAGTGACTGTGTGATTCCCCTTCTGTTACAACATAGATAGATACTTTTATTTCCTTCATATTTGGAGAGCAAAACATATTTACAATTAAATACATTGTCATATTAACTATATATACATAGTAGCTCAAGTCTACAAATAAAGATTTTGTTCTGTTCTGTTCTATAAACAACATTCGATTATTTAGCCCTAATTAAAGATCCTGTAACTCAATTTTTTATGGTTTTATATCATAAATATAATGCTCAAATGGAGATGTTTGCAAATATTAACCTGGGGACATTTTGCCAATGTACACACGACTTATCATTCTTGTAATATATAAGTTAATGTGATGGGCTGCAAGAAAAAAAATAAATAAAACTTGAGCAGCCGACAATACTGTCACTGGTAAGACTGTACATATTTGCAAGCTTAATCTTAACCTGCTGAATTTGTAAAATGCACTTTTCAAGCTTCCATTTGTTAGATGTTGATAACAAATTATAGAAGTTTTCTACACTAGTTCTAGAATTTATACCAGTTAAATAGATATAAATTGTTATTATCGTTAATTTTTTAACAATGGAAAAATGCATGATATTCACAGTCTATGCATCTAATGTTCTTTTCTAAGCAAGTAGTACATAAACGATCATTGTATGAAATATTTAAATGTCTGCCTACCTATATGTATAATTTATAGTTTGAACAGCTAAACTTTGGTAATGCAATTTTATGTTTTATATCATTCAACATTTAGGAAAATCTTAAGATGGTACCAATGATGTTATTTATTTAAGTTATTTATAATATCATGCCAGTTCTGAGTAAGACAAAATATCGATCTGTTTCCAAACATTTTAATAAACAATTTACAATCACCAACAGTTTGTGATATCCATGCATATCTAAATCCACATATGAATAAAAGTAATTTAACATTTGTTGCCCAACAATTTCTTCCAGCGTTATCAAGAGCATACAACATTAGATAGCATTGCTTTGGTTATTTTGTGAGACGGCATTTGTAATAACTTACACCAGTAACGTAAACATTTTTTGTTATATGTAATGCATATAGGAAGGCATGCACATTCTTCTAACACACATATTTGTTGTTTGTCGTACATGTCAAAATTTATACAAAATTCCCCATACTTGGAAACGTCAACATAAAATTAGTTTGATACAAGTATCAAAAATTTTGAAAAAATCCTTTATTTAAAAATAACCAAATGGTTTCTGGAAACGTATGGCATTAAGTGCTCTTTGAGCTTGGCAAGCTAATTATTCATGTGCCTCATTCCAAGATAATTTTTGTGTAAATAATAATCCCATGTACTTATATAGTGAAGAGGTATTTATAGTATATTCATAAACGCATTTTCGATAGCCTTTCTATAATCACCAATTACTTAAATTAACAATGAACCTTCAAGTCTTAAAATGTGTAACTTCTATTAACCCTGTTTCTATTAAAAATTTGTCAACAAATTTAATTTGGCTTCTGAACTGCTACAATCAAGTTTCTAAAATTTCCGAAATAAATCCGCACGAAGTAAATATTAAAATGTAATTTAACGGGAAAATAATTATTCTAAATTCCAACTTTTATTTGTGAATTAAAACATCATAAGATATTTCCCAAATGTCCAAATTTCGAAAAAAGAATTAATTATATTATCACGTTTAGATTAAATTTAAATAATCCCAAACCAGAAGCAGTATCATTAAAATGAGTAATCTAACGTTGGTGTTTTTTTATTGACTATATTACTCCTGCATTTTTTTTTCACTTTGACCTAAAAATATTTGCAAAATTGCCATTTGACTGCTTTACAGACTGAAAAGAATTTCAAAATTTTACGAATCAAAATAATTTGTCACGAAGTAAATATCTAAATATGTTATCTAAAGGAATGTTAATAATATTTCTAAACATGCCAACACATATTATTTTGTAAACAAATTGAACCATTCTAAGAAATCCAAACTAAAATAGAAAGCACAAATTAAGAAAAACATATTATACATATATACATATCTTATGTTTGAATATTTATAACAAATCCAACAACAAAAGTGAGGCATGCATTTTCATTATATAATTGAGTAAACTCAATAAACGTTGGTGCTTTTTTATCTTAAAGACTCACTGGTATTTTTTCACTTTACCTATATAAATTTATTCCAAACCATATGACCCATTTGGCAAGTGACACTTAACAGACAGAAAAGATGACACGAGTTTTAATTATAAAAGGAACAAGAGCTGTCCGTAAGACAGCGCGCTCGACTTTTTTAGTGCTTGCCTATAATACAAAACATTGACAGTTAAGGGCCATAATTCAAATAAAATCTTTGACAG